CCCCAAAACCCCAAAACCCCAAAACCCCACAATTCGAAATTATCATTATTCGAATAAGTATCTATCTTGATATATAGATTAAAAGTGATGTTATATAAAAGTTAAAAATATCTACTAGTTTGTTTAAATTCCATAGCATAAACTACTGATTACTCTCATAGAAAGTACAAGAATACTATTATCAAGTATGCTGCTAGTAGCAATAAAGTAATAAGTCCTATGTATATGTATCGCTTATGTATACGTCTTTCTTTGAAACAGCAAAGTCTGTAGCTATTACGGTCGTCCATCTCGTCGTGCACATTAATTTCTGATATTGAATTACGATTATTATTTTGGAATGTTAGCTGCGAGAGATTCTCAATAAGTGGTTCAGCATGTTCTCCATCCTTGTCCCTCAGTGAATGAGTGCTATGCTTACTCATAACACTTCTCACACTCCTGTTACTGCTGGCTATACTTCTAGTCTTGTTTATTTTACTAATTACTCTGCGGCTTTATTGAGAGGAGCGATCATCATTATGACGAGAGCGATTATCTGTAATCAAGAAATGAACATTATTCTACTCCTCATCTATCATCACTGCTCTATGTTTATGATGATCTGGAGCTTTCAATCTATACTATATATGACTTCAATATTTGGTACATGCTAATTGGATGATCTTGTTGAAGCTTAATCCTTTGAAATTGTGACTCTTCTCTTTATTATGCATAGGCTAGATTATCATAAGAGCCAATAAATGCATTCATCTTTTTCTTTTTAAATTCTCTAGCTTCCTCATCATTTTCTCCAAAGTTGCCATTATTAAGGACCTGCATGCTTTTTATAGTTTTTAGCTCGATATCTCCTGTTTCTTGATCATCTTTATTTAAACTCTAGTTCAGATCATACATTTCTTTCTCTTAGCCTTTGTGGTCAACCTGATAACAAAATTTATATTAGAATTTGTTTTCATACATTTGCAGCAGAATTATTAGATAGCTATGAACCTGTTTTTAATAGAGATGGTTAAGTAGCAGCTTATTCTATGGATATTATTATTTAGATAATTTGCGGATATGAATACCTTATTTTAATTTGAATTTTTCCTCTTACTTTTTTCTGTACTCCTCAAGCTACTTTTACTACTAAGACATTAAATTATTATAACATTTTATCTTATATGTTGAACTATAATTCAATATATTAATAATATTTAGCATTATATAGTCTCGAGGGGTTTTGGGGTTTTGGGGTTTTGGGGTTTTGGGGTTTTGGGG